TAGGACTCTGGAGAACAGGGTTCAAATCCCCGCTCATGGAAATTCCCTTGGGGGCTTGAACTGGTAAAAGCGCTCCTTATATATCTCATTTACATTGAAAGCCCTATTGGCGAAAATGGCGGCGCTGTGGAGAAACTTCGCAGAACGGTGAGCTTAAGAGCCATAGGAATGCATTAAACTAAGTTTAATGCGTTTCTGTGGCGTTTTCTGTTCTGTATAGCGATGTTTCCCCATAGTGACGGTTAATCCGGAACGGGTTAATCTCGCTATGCGGGCCACCACTGTATATCTCATTTACCTTGAAAGCCCTATTAGGGTCGCTATAAATCTGTTCCGACTTGATGGCACAGAGCACACACTTCTGTCGATGGAGAAGGGGGCATTCTGAACTCCAGGGCCACTGAAACTGCTGCAGATTTTGGCCTGAACATTCAGTGCTGACCCTATTGTGGGGATAGGATTCTACGCCTGTAAAGTTCGGCATGAAACCCGGAGCGGATTCACGGCCTGCATGAAACGGGAGTTCTACCTTCCACGGCCTCCCGGGGTTCCTGCATGAGCAAAGCTCCCTTCTCAAATGCCAACCTTCCACGTTTTGACCCCAAAACTGAAAGAGTAGTTCACTTTGTTTTGAAAAACAAGACCAAAAAGAACAGAAAGATCTCCGGCCTGGACTCCCTGTACAGTAGACCTTGCTGTTTGTTGGAGGGGCCTCTCCTCTTCTAGAGGCTCCCACTTCTGAAAGCCCACTTATTCTCTGTTTTTTGGATAGGAAAGGAAAGGTTTCAAGAACGGGCCCGGAGGTTGTAGAAATGGTGGATAGGTCCCGCTCATTTTAAAGCTGGCCATCATTGCCCGAGTCCGGGATGAGCCCTTGTGGAGGAGCAAAGAGACATACAGAAAAGAATAGAAATGTTTGCCTGTGCCTTAAATATACATTAAGGAATATCTAAGTTGCTGAGAACATTCCAAGACGTGCAAAATCCAGTGGAAAGTAAAGTTCTGATCTGCACACTCGTCCATAATGAGCAGCTCAAGTTCTCTCCTAATATATCAGTGCTTAAGAAATCACATTACCCTGCTTTTAAACGTTTGTCGATTTAGTTTAATTTAGCTTAAACTGAATTGGGTTTTGAGTTTGTTATGTTTCTTACGTTATTGTCATCATTGTGGATGACCCAGAGTGACCATCTGTCGGACAGGTAGTGTAGTATAGTATAATATAATATAGAATAGTATAATTAATTCATCTCAAGGCTTCTGTGCTTCTAATTTCTACAGCCCTTTTAAATCTCTGATTTTCATCTCTCCTGTCTCACGGTGATTTTATTTTCTGCTCTTACACAGTTGTTTAATAAGGAACCTTGGAAATAGTTTTTAAAATAAAAGTTTCAATTAAAAACAAAAATTAACATTACAAACCAACAGCAAAAACTTTAATTAATTAATTAAGCAAGAAAATCTTGTTTTTACTGTTTTGTTGTTGTTCGGTCGTTAAGTCATGTCCGACTCTTCATGACCCCATGGACCAGAGCACGCCAGGCCCTCCTGTCTTCCACTGCCTCTCAGAGTTGGGTCAAATTCATGTTGGTTGCTTCGATGAAACTGTCCAATCATCTCGTTCTCTGTCGTCCCCGTCTCCTCCTGCTTTTGCTGTTAGCCCTTCCTTTTGATAGCTTGCTGCTTTTTATTTTCCAGATAGCGTAGGAGATGTTTTAAGCCACTTGAGGAAGCAAGTTGAGATTTTGTTCAACGCACGATATGGTAAGCTCCGGGACTTGGTGTTATTTTGTTGGGTTTTTATTGCTTAATTAAAGAGTGGACAATCTGAGTGAGCTTGTAAGGGCCAGATGGTTACTTTCGACCTATATCAATGGGCTGCGCCGACCTGCAAATTTAAAGCAAAACAGAGTAATATAGGAAATACGTGAGTGGGCAGTTCAAGTTTCTGTTTTAGGGGTTTGGGAGATGCAATAATGTTTTAATATTTGATTTCATGTGCTTTAACATGCTTAATTTTAAAATGTTTTAAAGGTTTTACATTTTTAAATTGGCTCTGAAACTCACCCTGAGATCTTGTGATGTCGGGCAAACGATAAATGTAAATAATAAATAAATAAAGCCAAGCCCTAGGAGGAAAAGAAGACTGGGGAGGAGATAGGATACCACTTTTCAAATCCTTGAAAGGCGGAGTCCAGTCGAGGGGACCAGATCTTTATCTCGATCGTCCCAGAGTGCAGGACGTGTAATAATGGGCTCAAACTACAGGAAGCCAGATAGATAGGATAGCACTTTTCAAATCCTTGACAGGCGGAGGGCAGTGGAGGGGACCAGATCTTTATCACGATCGTCCCAGAGTGCAGGGGAAGCCAGATTTAGGCTGACTATCAGGAATATCAGATCTTCAAATCTGTATAAATACTGTGTTTCCCCGAAAACAAGACAGGGTCTTATATTCATTTTTGCTCCAAAAAAAAAAGCACATTAGGGCTTATTTTCAGGGGATGTTTTATTTCTTTCATTTACAATAATCTACATTTATTCAAATACGTTTATGTCATCTTATTCTGGTTGCTGCACAAGGGTGGAGGGTGGGATTTCACTTCACTGGGGCTTATTTTTGGGGTAGGGCTTATATGACGAGCTTCCTAAAAAATCCTACTAAGGCTTATTTTCAGGTTAGGTCTTATTTTCGGGGAAACAGGGCTGATGTAAATAAATAACATGCTAAAGGCTTGGTTTGGCCTGCTTGGTTTTGCAGCTAAAGCCATAGGAATTTCAGAACCTGTCAAAGTCCCCTATTCCAAATTCTTGATGTACCCGGAAGACCTCTTTGTGGTGGGCTTGCCGGATGGAATCCTGCTCCGGCGACCGAACTGCTTCGGGATTGCAAAGCTAAAGAAAATCCTCCAGGCGAGCAGCAGTATCCGGTTTGTGATCAAGAGGTACAGGTCAAGCCGCCATCTTTCCTTACACTTGGTTCTCACTGGGATCCTTTTTTTCCCTTTCAGTAGCTAAGCAGAGTCCAGTGGGGTGAATATTTGGATGGGTGACCGTGTGGGAATAGGAGGGATTTTCACATAGAAGGAAAGAACTCTCAGTAATTCATTTGCAATCAGAGCCACAGATCCTGATTTCTTAGAAATCTGCTGCTCAGATCAGAAATCTGCCACCAGAAGAGGATTTCTCAAAAAATCTGCCACCAGAAGATTTCTGAGAAATCTGCCACTAGGATTCTACCAGCAGGCTTGTGCTTAATACTAGCTTTGGACCTCATTTTTCAAGATTGCCCCGACAGCGCCATCAAATGCTCCCTTCCCCCTTCTGGCAATGTAAACACTCTTGAAAAAAGAGAAAAAAACTTCTCTGCCACCAGAAGAGGATTTCTCAAAAAATCTGCCACCAGAAGATTTCTGAGAAATCTGCCACTAGGATTCTACCAGCAGGCTTGTGCTTAATACTAGCTTTGGACCTCATTTTTCAAGATTGCCCCGACAGCGCCATCAAATGCTCCCTTCCCCCTTCTGGCAATGTAAACACTCTTGAAAAAAGAGAAAAAAACTTCGGGGGGGAAATCGGAACTCCCCACCAGATACCTAAACCACTGAACTCTCCAGCTTTCTGCCCAGATGCCTAAACCACTGAACTCTCCAGCTTTCTATATCCCCTCTTATCATGGTTGATCTTGTCTTTCAGGCCAGAACTTCTCGCAGAAGGAGTGAAGGAGACAACCTCGGAGAGCTCCGGAGCAATTGGTAAATATACTGATTTCATGCAACTCACAGTTGAAAAGAGAGAGAGACCTCAATGAGGAACACATTTCTTGTGGCGTAAACTTTTGTAAACCAGAGTCGACTTCATCAGATGCAGACAATGTTATCCTGAGTCAGGAGACCTCTGTGTACTCATTAATGTTGAGAGAGAGAGAAAGAAAGAAAGACATATGGCAGGAAGATCATGGAAAAATGAAAAACAAGAAATGCAGGCCGTGGTAATTCTGTTCCATGATGTGTGTAAAATGATTACAGCGACAGTTCACAAAGTGTTGATGACAGAAACATCACAGCGTTGGCAGGCTGATTGATGTGCCACGGGATTAAGAACCCATTGTCTCAATTAAGGCCGCACTGGATAGAGTTGAACTTCTTGAGAAGTTTTAACACAGGAGGAGATTTCTCCTGATGTTTTTCTGTTATTGTCTCCTCCGTTGACTGCTTTTAGACCGGAATCGCCTTGGAGCAGAAAACTGGCGGCTTATTCAGCAGTCGGGCTATTATGCTCGAGGGTGCATAAAAAAGTAGATGTGGCAGTTTCTCCTGATCTTAGAATACAAACAGAATAAGTTGGTCCTGAATAAGTAAAGATTTAAAAATGAGCTGGTGTATTCAGGAAAGAAGGTTGTTCAGCACATAAGGGTGTGTGTGTGGGGGGGGTTTAGAAGGACAAATAGCTCTATCCTGCTGTTGTTATTATTATTTAGAAATAGATTCAGGTTAATGGAAACAGACAATGAAATGACAATGAAATAAGGATGTGGCTTTGTGTGTTGACAGCTGACGAGAGAGACCCCGGTGAGCGTCTTGTGGAGGAGTCTTTAAAAAGACCAGGATTTCAAGGTGAGTCTTAGGACATTTCACCCCATCGTTGAGCTGGCTTTGCGCAGGATGCTCGCCTACAGTTCTTTTTTCCTTCCTCCTCCTTCGACGATCACGCGCAGTCTGGTGCACTGTTCAGATGATGCTCTAGCTATTCCGAAAGGGAATTATTGGGTACTGTAGAGCTTACTCTTAAGTGAATGTATGTAGGATCGTGGCCACGATCCTACATGCATTCCCTTGAGAGTAAACCCTACAGCATCCCCAACAGTTGTAAACACCATAGCCATTAGAGGTGTGGTGTGTTTGCATTTTCGTAAGTTTGAAAACGTAAACACCCACCACTCTGGTGCCAAGACTGCTTTCCACAGCGGAAAAGCTGGAAAGAATCCGCCGTACCGGAGTTGAGTCTATCAGTAGCTAGGATTTCCCTTCTTGTGTACTGTTACAACGTGGCGGAGTGCTTTCACATTTCCGTAAAATAGAGCAGGGGAAAAGATTTTGTATTGGTTTCGTAGCATCATAGAACAAGTGAGTTGGGCTATAAGGCTCTTAAATTCAGCCCTCTGCTCAGGCAGGGATCCAAATCAAATCTGATCTGACAGATGGTTGACCCATTTTTTTCTTGCATGCCTCCAGTGTTGGAGTGCTCATAGCCTCCCAAGGTCGGTCGGTTCCATTGTTGTACTGTTTTAACAGTTAAGAAGTATTTCCTGAAATTCAGCCTAAATCTGGCTTCGTATAACTTGAGCCTATTATGACATGTCCTGCACTCTGGGATGATTGAGAACAGATCCTGCCCCTCCTCTGTATGACTACATCTCAGATATTTGAAAAGTGCTATCATCTCTCCCTCTAACGCACGGTACTGCACACGAGGTCTGACTCCTGCTGTCTCTTTCTCCACAGAAAACTATGATACCCGGCTTTCGAGAATAGATATTGCAAACACGCTGAGGGAACAGGTTCAGGACCTGTTCAATAAGAAGTATGGTGAGTAACTAAAGAAAAGACCACAATTTCACGCTGAACACACTGGTTTTGTTTGATTTTGGAAGCTAAGCAGGGTCAGGACTGTTTAGCGCGAGGATGGGAGACCACGGTGTGAACAGAAGCAAACATGTTCTCCAGTTTTTAAGGTGGTGTGACTTTTCTTTGTTCTTAAGTTGCCTTTGTTTCAAGAAGATAAACCATCATTTGTTCCGTTACGACACCCTAGGGAACTGTGGGTTGTTCCAACCGGAAAGTTGAGGAGGGAATCCATTTTGTTTCATGCAGTAGAGAAGGGAATTTATGTTTTATTTAAGCTGGCAGTGCGTGCCAAACCAAACTTTAGAATCATAGAAGAATTGGGGTTGGAAGGGGTCTCTAAGGTCATCCAGTCCAACCCCTCGCTCAAGGCAGGAACCCAAGTCAAAGCAGATGTGACAAGAGGGTGGTCCAATTTTCTCTTGAACACATCAGAACGCTCACCACCTCCTGAGCTCATGGGTTCCGTTGTCGTACTGCTCTAGCAGTTAGGACGTTTTTCCTGATCTTCACCCTAAATGTGACTTCCTCTAGCTTGACCCCATTATTATGTATACTTCACGGTTATTATTATCTCTTCACGGAGCTGTCCATGGTTCTGACAGTTTTGGACCCACTTTTCCTGCGAACTCTACCCTGCTGGGGACGAGACTTTTATACATTTTGGATTTATACATTTGGGATTGGCCCAACCAAAATTTCGGAGGCTTTCAGCCCCTTTAAAAAAAAAAAGCCCTGTTAGATGTTTGAAATAACGTACAGGCGCTGAATAAATAAGAAAAAAACACTCCGTTTCTGAGCTGTGCGGCTCTATGATGACAAAAGCTCTGTTCACACTGCAAAGCATTATGGGTTTTATAGTACCCCGGCCTGTTATTCTCCGTGCAGGGTGCCTCTCAGAAAAGCTTGAAAGAATGTCTTCTTATGCTTTTCCCATTTTCAAGCTTTAACGTGGGCAGACGGTTGTTCATCAAATCCAGCTGCCTATTTAATTATTGCTGTACAATTACAAATGTTCTCCGGCAACTGGAAATAAGAACTGAGGGAAGAAGGAGACCTGTGTGGGTTCGTATTACTGAACCACCTATTGGAAAAGGAAACATTTAGCTTTTTTCCCTATCTGTAGTTTCTAAAGCATGGAATATTATTACCCTAGTTGTGTGTAATCCGGTTGATTGTGTTGTTGCTTTTGTAAGACTGTATATTTTTTGCACATAAAATTTAATTTCTAACTTTTAAAAAAAAATCTTGCTGCCGGATCTGAGACAACTGTTGGGATGATGATGATGATGATGATGATGATGATGATGATAATAATAATAATTTATTGTCATTGTAAGTATATACACAGTATACCCATACAACAAAATTCACAGACACCCAGAGACCAGACACATGGACACACATAAAATTCCCCAAACACTCCCCACCCACATCGCAGCTACTGATTCTCCAGTTAGAGGCCGTGTTCTCCGATTTTTCTCCCATACCTCAAAGACATTTGAGGGGTGAAGCGGAACGTTGAGCTATGAACGTGTGGCCAATCCCTAAAAGCCCACTGGAGCTTTGCCCGTCCCCTCGGAGCTGGGCCTCCTTCGTGGGAGGAACACCATCAGAAACCAACCCACTAACCATTGTGCCATACTGCTGCTCTCATTTCAGGCGAGGCCCTGGGCATCAAATACCCGGTCCAAGTACCATACAAACGGATCAAAAGCAATCCCGGCTCAGTGATTATAGAAGGGTTGCCGCCAGGAATCCCTTTCCGGAAACCCTGCACATTCGGCTCCCAGAATCTGGAGAGGATATTAGCCGTGGCGGACAAGATCAAGTTCACGGTAACAAGGTATTCCCCGGAGGGATCTTTTGCAGGGTGCGCTTAGCGGTGTGCAGATCGGTGTGGCTTTTAGATTGCACAGAATTCCCATGGCTGCCTGGAAAATTCTGGGTGTTCGTAGTCCAGAAACATAAAACAGTACATTTCTAGCTTTTGGGGTATCCATATTACAGTAGGACCTCTGTATCCACGGGATCGGAAGTAAGCTGAGGAGAGAACAAACACAAGTGGAGGGGAAAGCAGGGATCAAAGCGATCCTGCAGCGCTTTGATCCCTTTTCCCCCTACACTTGCTAAGCCCCACTTAGATTCCTTAATTTTGACAGTGCTGTGGACTATGGATCTCTTCTACACGGCGGGCATCTTATACACGGAAAAATATGGTAATCACTCGTTAAGAAACTCAGGGCTCTTTAGAATGGCACCATGGTAGTTCAGGTGACATCAGACTGGGATAACTGGGTCATGCAGCCCCAACCTCTGAGTGCAGGACTTCAGTGGGTCTTTTAGAACTAAGCAGCCAGACCCGCAACGTGCAAGACCGTCGGGCAGTGTCCGTCTTCTGCTTTAACTCCGTGATCAATACCGTGTTCTGCTCTTTTTTCCAGGCCGTTCCAGGGACTCATCCCTAAACCTGGTAAGTGCCCTTGGCCGTGGCAGCCCTCACGTGGCGCGTGGTGCCATTTTGGAAATGGCTTTTACTCGTTCGGTGGTGGCTCTTGGAGGCACGTGGTCACGGTGTCTGCTAAAAGGGGTTTCTCGGATGTTCTCTGCTGTCTTACGTTGTGTGGAGGTGCTGCATGGATAATCGTTCAGAGCCAATAAGATGCCCCAGGAAAGGCTGAGTGCTCTGAAGCCTATAAGTACCTCTCTCCAGGCTTCCCTTGGACCATCCTAGTCATGCAAGAAGCATCGGGCTTCTTGAGCTTAGAGAAAGGCATTTATTAGACTCCCGGCACTATTTCGATGGGCCAGGGATCACTGACTTTAGATCACAGCTCTTTCTTCTGTGTCTCTAGCAGGGGTGTACTGGTAAATTTGGAAATACATTGTGACAACGTGTATACGCACATTCTAGGAGAGTCCAAGAGAACACCCACTGGATTGACCCATATGAATTTATGTGGAGCAGGTGTTTCGTAAAGTTAATGGCTCTTCATTGCCCATCCAAGAGCAAACTGCTGTCAAATACGTTGCATTGCACCCAAGACAGCTGGCAACCGTATGCTGTTCTATTTCTCTCCCAGCTATGGAGAGGATTGTGGCTAAGTTGAGAAAGAAATAAGAAGTGGGAGTAGTGGAGGGTGTCATAGTCCCGGCTCCTCAGAAAATCCTGGGGCTCTGACCCTCCGAGCCCTGGTTCCACTACTCCATGGTTCTTTGGGGGACACCTCCTCCTCTGACCCTGAGGGAGGGTGAGGCCACTGTCATGATTCCAGCTTCTGTCCTGAACAGTTTTATTGATTTCGGATTGCTCTTGAGCACCAGCCGTTCAGTGGAAAAGGTCTCTTCTGTGTATTAATTTAGTAGCCACAATTGAACATGCACCACAGCCCTTTTCATTCTGTTCCCCTGGTGCTGCTTTCCTGCCACCAAGTCATTTTCTGTTCTGCAATTAATAAACTAGGTTGGGCAATAATCTTTAATTAAACACAGCCGTGTTTCACAATCCCTATATGCCTTTAGCATCAAGAGTGCCCTCTTCTCCAAATGACCTCTGAGACATTAACGTAGGCGAGCTAACTAAGGAAATAAAAATAGTATTTAGTTACATGTACAAACCTAAAAAAGAAAAAAAAGAGGCTTCTTAAGATTACTGTTTTTTATTCCTTTGTTGTTGATTAGAGGTATCCCCCTTTTTCGAATGAGCGTGCCTTCCAAATCAGATTAGAACTGATGCACAATTAAAACAAAACAGTATTTCAAGAATACCTGGGCTTCTGTATGTTTGTCTGGTCTGGCCACAATAATCGGAGCCGTATTTCAGTCTCCGGGCTCTTCCCTTGGAAGTGAGAAAGCAAAACAAACCGGAGATAAATCCGGTGGCAGGCGACAGTAAAAGTGCCACTTGAAAATGAGGTCCTTGGATTTGCCCCATTAAGCGAAAGGTGTAATCAGAGATGATTTGAGGCTATTCACAGGTGCAGTTATTTTGAAGGTTTATTTAAGTCACAGCAGATAAACTGGGAATAGGATGATAGTGCTCTAAATCAAATGAAAATCGATGAATTTCTAACGCAGGACAATGCGGTGATGAGATTAAAAGTGCAAAGCAAAACAAGCTGTATTAAAATATCGAATGGAATCACAGTTATGCAAAGTTAGCCACAATTGGCCCTTCATAAAACACTGTATATGCCCCTAACCTGCCACCAGCCTTCTGGTGGAAGCTCACTGTGTCCCAACTTTTTGGCTTAAAAGATTGAGAAAGAAAGTTACATAGCTACGTATCCCAAGGAACAGGTTCCTGAAAGGAGATGTGCGGGATAAATGATCCAGAAAATCCAAAGGAAAAATAAAGTAGCAAAATCACGGTGTGCCTGTAGAAAGGGGGGGTGTTTTAGAATCTCCCGGAGATTTTACCCAATATGAAACTCTCAAAATCATGGCACGCCAAGGCTCACGGGCTCAGAGCGAGATCTTCAAAAGTAAAAAATATACACGAGGAAAAGTGAAGAGCCACTCCATGTCAGCGCGAATGTATGTGACTCTGAGTCTTAAGTGATCATTGCTTTTTGGCTCCACCGAGACCCCAAACTTTTCCAGACTTATTTATTTATTTAATTTTATTTATCTCCCGCCTATCTGGTCGGGTCAGGACCACTCTAGGCGGCTAACAATCATAAAATGATACAATAAAAAAAATATATAAACAATTCTAAATAGCAAACGCATTACACAAGGCAGAAGAAACAGTAAGAGAGGAAAGAGCGGGCGTCAGGAATTATCTGATGGGAAGGCCTGCTGAAACATCCATGTCTTTAATTGATTCTTAAAGATACCCAGCGACTTCCTGTCGGCTTCCTTCCGTACTGTCCCCACATCTTCAGCCAGAGCCCCTGTTGCCACAGCCATCATATATCTGTCTTTTTTTTTTATTCATTCCATCGTGCAGAAGTCCAGCCAGGAAAGGAATCCTTCGCTCTTTTGGCCAACAGAAAGCCATCCGTTGTGTTGTGCATGGAACAAACCCAAGATTTCGTCCCTGCCATTCCATAGGCAGGCTGTTCCACCAGTTGGCAATCCAAGCCATATAGACCATATATCTGTATGGCCAGTTCGATTCTTGCTTTCGATTGGAATCCGTTTATAAAACCACTCCGCTTTGCCCTGGAACCGAATCTGGCCATTCGGTTTGGTTTGGGACTTTCGAAAGGGGTCCCGAACCTAGCCGGGTCGGCCAAATCCAGTACACGGCCTGAGTGGAAGCTGCCGAATCAAGCTGGAGAGAAAGTTAAGAGAAAGGTGTGAAGGATCGTACCCAGAACAGAAAAGGGAATGGAAGTAGAACAGCAGGCGTTCTGTGTTAAGTTCTCGGGTCTGGATGCTGGCCTTTCTAAATAAAATTCCGACTAAAAGGCAGGAGATTCTGGAGGACAGTAAGAGCTGTTCTTTTGATTAGCTTGGAAGAAGGTAGATTCCAGTTCTAAGGAGAAGTTGGATGGATGTTGCCTGGAGCACATGAGCTGATGATTTCCTGCGCCGGAAGGCGATTTGGACTAGATGGCCTTTGGGGTTTCCTTCCTGGTTATGATTCTGTGGTCTCAAGTTCCTAAATTGAGTAAAAAAAAAACTCATCTGAGACCTTGGGAAAACTACGGCGGCTTCTAATTTTGATCCTAGGAGATGCTTTGGGAACAAATGGCACCTCAACTCCCATCAGCCCCCACCAGCAAGGCTGTGGATGATGGGAGTTGTCACCTAGCAAGGTCTGGAGACCATAGGGGACCCAACCCTGTGCTGTGCATTGATCACCATAGAATCATAGAATAATTGAGCTGGGAGGTGCCTATAAAGCTATTGAGTCCAATCTTCTGCTCAATGCAGGAATTCGAGTCAAAGCATACCTGGCAGATGAGTGTCCAGTTGTCTCTTGAATGCCTCCAGTGTTGCAGCGCTCACCCCCTTCCGAGGTCATGGATTCCATTGTCGTACTGCTCTAACAGTTGAGAAGTTTTCCCTGACATTCAGCCGAAATCTGGCTTCCTGTAGCTTGAGCCCATGATTACAATATTATGTCAAAACAATCCCTTGCTACTTTTAAGGGATGTAAGAGGAAGGAGCTGCGAGGTTCCGGTTTTCTTGTTCGTCAGGATCGCTCACACCCCTTATGGTTAAATAATCCTCAACAGCATAACAAGAAGTAAATTTTCCAAGTGTTGATGCATCTGTCCCGTGGTGCAATCACACGATCATTAGTCATTCCGTTAAATTTAAAGGGAGATCCTGGTTCTAATTAGATGGCCAGTTTAATTGGAAAGTTGGAAGCTGCGGTGACCAAAACTTGGGAAGTTACATTCTAAAAGTAATTAGTTCCTGCTACCGTTCTAAGACCCCAGATGCTATTTAATGACCATTACAGATAAATATTTTTTAAAGTAACTCCATCCTTGCCTGTTATTTAAAAGTAACTGGAATTGTTACTTCCGAGGCTCTGAAATAAGTATAAGAATGCTACAAGTAACTTGTCATAGAGCATCTCCTGAATAGAGAGGCCACATGCCACCTGTAATTATAAAAGGAACTAAGAAGTTACAGTTACACCACAAAGGGAGTGGAAGTATCCTTTGTTCCACTACAGTGGTCAAATAATTGAGCGGTTCCTTTATTGCAAAAAAGGAATTCATTGCAAATAAATTACAAAACTAAGGAGTTATCAGAAATAACTCCCAGGCCGATGTGTAGGACAGAAACACGTTTACCACTGTTGAACGGGCTTAAAAACGATCACGTCTCCCACTTGGTTGCTTAGTTCCGATCTAGATCTTTTCAAAAAACCCTTCCCCATGTTGAATACAACCAGAACTGGCATTTTCCCGGCACTTTAATTTTTCAGTGCTTTGGTGTAGAACACAAACCCCCCGCCCCGCTCACTCGCTTGTTCGCTTAAACGTCTCTCTTTCTCTTTTTCTCTCCTCCTCCAAAGTAGCACCTAGAAGGAATTACCCTCTGTAAAA